CTGTGTCTTATATACTTGCCAGGAGGTTTTACCATCATATGTGGATAGCTTGATTGAGAGACGAGAAGGCATGGGTAAAAATTTAAAACCATCCAAATTTCTTCCTGCTATCGCTATGAATTTCTCTAAAGTGTCAACTTCTGTGGTAACACCAGAAACTCTGTAACTGATTTTGTGTTCCAAGGCACAATCTCTCTCTTCTATATGTTCTTTGACAGCAAAAACTCTCTCTTCTATTTGTTCTTTGACTGAAGAAACTCTTTCTTCAGTTTGTACAACTTTATTTTCAACTACATCTATTCTGCCTTCTATAGCCTCAAACTTGTTTTCTATTATGCGAGGTCATGTCTCTTTTCATTTCCTCTTGACCTGTTTTAATCTTTTCCTGACCAGCTTACATCCAGGCTTAGCCCGTTTTCATCTCTTCTTTAACAAAACTGACTGCTCCTCCATCACTCTTGTCACTGGCATTCAATCCCACTTCTGACATCAAAAAGTATTGTGTGCATACAAATTTGCAATAGATTGAATGCACAAGTTCAATAATTGGTTAATAAAAAAATTGTGTTGAATAATATTTCTGTATGAAAGCACAAAGGAACAAATGAAGGAAAGAGCTGGTTACCAGGAAGTGTATTTCAGTTTTATTCACTTTGTTTTAAAAATTATAAAGTTTCTGTAATCTGACTGAAATACTTAAAATTCATTTAAATAAAAAAAAAATCTGTAGAATTTTAAATCTTGCATTATTTTAACTGCTTGATCAGTCTATCTTTCTTTGTTAATCTCTAGCTTGCACTATAAAACTTTAATGTTTGTCTGTGAAAAGTGCCATTCCTCTCTTCTCATTTAAATTTGCCCTTACAAGAATATGATTTTGCAATGTTAAAAGTAGTAAATGTGTCCTTTTACCTAGTGGCACTTTTTTTTAATTATTTCTGCATTTTTTCATATCGAGCATTTCAAAAAATCATTCAGATGAAAATTTTGCTTCCCCCCCCCTTTTTCTTTTATCTTTGGGCCGTTGTTATATGCTGAGAAAATATGCAAATAAATGCTTGTTAACTATCCATAGAAGAAAAACTTGAAAAGGATGAACAAATTTGATTTAATTTTCTTTGGAGAAATAAGAATGATGGTGTAAAAATTGCATATCTCATATAAAAGCAACATGATCCTTAGACAGACTTTCCAGGTTCTTCAGCATTTCTGAAACCTTTTTTGAAGTGGGAACTACTTTTATAAATTAGACCATTCCGCAGACCACCTTATTCTCTTTTCTTTCAAAAGCAATTTTTTGTATAAATTAGTATAATTATAGACGTACACTTTAAAATGCATTTCATTAAAAATCATTTTATTTTATATTAGTATTAAGTTAATAAAAGAAAATTTATATTTGTTTTTAATAAATCAAGGAGCTGGGGTAATTTTATTAACTAAAAATTAAATAAATATTGGCACTCACATTAATGAGATGGATGAGCCAGCTGATTCTTGCATAGCTGTTCTGTGTTTGGTTATACAGTGGAATTTTGAAAGATGAGTTAAATTTGTCCCAGCATTGAGCTTGTATAGTGAATTTCTAGTATCTAGAAACAAACTTCCCATTGAAAAAATTGGAAACTCAGTTAATCAATTTCACACCCCCAGAAGTATCAGATTAAAATATGGAAACTCAGTTAATCCATTCCACACCCACAGAAATATCAAATGAAAATCAATTTTCCTAATAAATAACGCTGGTAAATAATATAGCCATAATTTACCATTATGAAGAGTCCTGACTGGCGATAGGGATGTGGGGAAGACGAAACTGGTTACTGTGGGGAAGGAGAGTCACCCTCTGATTCAGGAAGGCTCTCTCTTCTTGGGAATTTTTGTCCACTTGAAGCAGGTTCTTGGTCAGAATCACTTAACTTTCTTTTAGTTGCAGGTTGTTTTACCGAAAACTTATTTAATAACACTTGCTTCTGTCTCCCTTTTAAGATGCCTGTAAAATGCAACACTACATTGTCATTACACAAGTTCATAGTGCATCCACGCACTGCTTAATTAGAGTGATTTTCTTAAAAGAAAGTTTTCATTTCTTCTCACTTTGCCAACACTTCTTTAATCGTACTGAAAGAAAGAGCCTTATCTCCTGTTCCTTCCTCCCCTAACAAAAAGCTCTTCTACCACCTCTTGCTGCTGCTTCTTGTGAAGTCTTTTAAGTTCATCCGTTGTACATTCTTCACTATGCTCCTGCACTAACTCATCCAACATCCAGACCCATACTTTTTCCCAGAGATACAATTTCTTTGACTAGCTGCACTATTGTCCACAGGTTGACGAACAAAACCAAAGTCAGGAATAATCCAAGGCCACAGTTTTTTCCGTGCTGAATTCAGGGTCCTTAGTGAGACTTCTTCCCAAGCCTTATCAATGAGGTTTAAGCAATTTAGGATGCTGAAGTGATCCTTCCAAAATTTTCTGAGGGTAAGGCTTGTATTTTCAGTCACTTCAAAACACCTTTGAAACAAGACCTTCATGTACAGCTTCTTAAAGTGAAAATAACTTGCCGGTCCATCGGCTGGAGAAGTGAAGTGGTATTGTTTGGAAGAAATTTGACTTTTATGAACTGAAATTCCTCCAGCAAATCATCTTCAAGCTGTGAAGGATGTGCAGGAGCATTATCAAGGACAAGCAAGCAACGCCTTGAGTAGCAACTTATTTTCATGAAGGTATTTCTTCACTGACGGACCAAAAACTTTGTTGACCCACTCGATGAAAAATTGTCCTGTTACACATGCTTTGCTGTTAGCCTGCTACATCACATTCAGTTAGTTTTCTGTACCTTCCCTCTCCCCTCTTGAAAACTCGTGGATTTTTCGAATGGTAGACGAGCAATGGCTTGATTTTACAATCGCCACTTGCGTTTGGTGCAAAACAAGAGGGTAAGCTTATCTTTCATTGGCTTGTAATCAGGCAAAATTTCTCCTCTTATGAGATGTAGGTCCTTTTAGACATTTTCTTCCAAAAAAATACCTGTTTCATCATAATTAAACACTTTCTGAGGAAGAAATTCCTTGCTAGTAATAAACTAGGAGCTGAGGCAAAAAAATAATCAACAGCAGCTGTATCAGAGATTGCAGCCTGACCATGTTGCGCAACACTGGTTTCTCTTTTTAAATCTTTTGAACCAACCACGGCTTGCCTTAAATGCCATCTCATCTTCAACATACCTGGTGTTTTCCGGAAGACGGTCCGAGTGCAGATTCCTGGCGCTCAATGCAAATTATAGCTTTTGACACCGAATCATCATTTAACTGCTTCTTGTTAATTCACACCAACAACTGCTTCTCAACATCTTTTAAGAGTTTCGCACGGTGCTTGGAAGTGACATAATTCCTTTGGCCACATCAAGTTTCTTAATTTCTTCCTTCTTCTTCAAAATAATGCTTGTCATCGATGTCGAATGGCCGTAAATCTTCGCCAATTCCATCCCTCTTACACCATGCCTATGTTTATCTATGATTTTTTTTCTTAATTGCATTGGCCAAGGCTTCCTTCTTTTTCTTTGCTGCTTGTTATCTGAGGCAACAATCTTGGGAGGCATCATGAAATAATTATTTTCATTTTAAATGTAAAAAAACAATTAACTCACAAGAGCACAGACATTGATCAAAGAACATTGAGTGGTTTGACAAGGGGATTCCCCGGGTTGAACCGGAATGGGAAGCGCACCACACATACCCAACAGCCTTGCTCGTTACTCGAATCAGTGCTTGTATTTAGACAAATTTTTCATTTGTACTTTCCTCGTATCTCGAATTTCTCGTATATAGAGTTGCTCGTTTCTCGAAGTTACACTGTAAGATAAGAAGCACCACAATCATGAAGCTTTGAATCCCTCTTTTATTGCTAAGACTAGAGTGAGATGTCTGCAAATAGGCTAACTGGTAATAAATTTAATACAATGTCACTCTTGGGAGAAAATACAATAGACTTGCCATGTGTAATTTCCTTAAAATTTTCATCTGTATTATGTCATGGAGGATAATTTAGAATTTTGTTTTTGTCACTTTTGGAAAATTAGGAGGACCATAAGGGCAGGTTTCGAAGATCGATTGAGAAACTCAATTACTTAGTATTCAGTTTTTAATAACATGAAGGATACTTCTTAACTGCCTCAAATTTTCTTACTTAACTTTAAACTTACTGTTGATAAATGAGTACATAATCTATCAGCATTTAACATCATATGCAAGTGAGAAATAATTAATCAGGTTGATTGCATACATAAAATTTACTTTGATTGTAATTTATGTATGCAGTTTCTAAGAACTCTTGGGAAAATATGTTATTCTGATAAAGGGTTGGAAAAAAATCTTTTTGCATAACTTTGAAAATTCATTATTGTAGCATTCTGCAGGCTCATGGATTTGGAGTAATTGGTGACAACACTTAATGAAGAATCAAAACACAATTTATTCGTCAGTAGGCACTGTTACACAGGGTAGTTCCAAAGACATGATTACAGTCGTTGAAAAACTATGAAAAACAGGCTGATGCATTCAGCAGCTCAACCCTTAGTGAAGACAGCATCATGGCAAATCATTAAAGTACATCTTCCAACTTGTTCAATTGCTATCAAGCTAATCTCTGAGCTCAGATATTACCACTATGCTCTCCCAGGACAGGCGTGGTATATATAACTTTAACCTACCTTCGGGAATATTCCTGAGGAAACTGCTAAAAATGTGTTCTAGAATGTTCTCTCTTCATCGATGGCATATCTCCAAAAAGGCAATTTCATGCCAAATCTGACAACTTGTCTTTACCTGCCGCTTTCTATCAACCCTAACCCTGCTTTGTAGCAAAGCTATCTCACCGCAGCTGGGCATTTAGCAACAGTATTTAACGAGTGTTCTGGTGAATTTAGTTTCATTACACTACATGCATTTAAAGGAGTATTAAGTTATGTTTTTGTGAGATAGGTATTTTATTTTCTTTTGTAGGCAAATATTGGCAATGTAGCTATTGACAAAGAACGCAGGGAAGATGGAAGTGATGATATCATAGTGACATTGCTTTCAAGAAAGATGCATCATAAAGAACTTGAAGAATTTGGACATAGTGAAGGCAGTCACCCTTAAATATAACTACCTCTTATAGTGAACTGTGACTTTGCAACCATTGTAATTATGCTTCATATTTGTATATCATTGCTATTTAATATAACACTTTTGCATTTTAACTCATTTCTCAAGGTATATGAGAAATTCATGTTTTGTTGATAATTGATGTAATGAGTACATATAAATCATCCACATTTATCATATTTTAATTTTATTATTTTGTAAATATTTGACTGTTTTGCCATGTTTTTAATTAATGGTATTGAAATAATTCAGTGTCCTAGAATGGAAATGTATATTGTTTTACTCTCATGTTCTAGTGTGTTCGGAAATTATACAAATTGTTTTTTTTTTTTTTTTTTTTTTTTTTTTTTTCTTTTCTTTTTAATTTGCTACTACTTTGTGAAAGCAAGATTTGATAATCTAAGAAGTTATTTTTACCATCCTTCTTAATTTCTAATAAATGGAAAACATATAAATATTCTATGCATAATGTTTAGTTGAATTTAAAATGAATTAAAAACATGCCTTGTGTTTCTATAGGTGCCGGTCATCTGTTGTAGTTATTTTTGTCTTGTTATCTCAATAAATCACTTATTTTATATTGTAATGTATATGGGTTTTTTATATTATCAAACTAATAATTGGTTATACAATAAAATAATTTCATTACTTTTTCATACAGTTTCATTTTTTTTAATAATGAAATCTAAAAAGAGATTGTACTCTTATTTTGTTTTCCTGTGTTCCCGTTTGTAAATAATTGCACAGTTTCTATCTGAGAGGGTAGAATTTTAACATGTTAATAATATATGTATAGCATATCAGTAATTAAACTTTATTTCTAATTAGTGTTACATTTAAAATTTTGCTTTAATTTTTTCCATAAATGTATTTTAATGCGTGGAGTTTTAACTTAATTTTATAGATTAGCATAATTGTAGGTTCCCCCTTCCCCGAGTCAGAACTGAAAATCTATCATGTATGTTGGCAAAGTAACTTACCATGTAAAGTTTTTTTAATATAAAACAATCAATTTTCAGGGGACAAAAGTGTTTGAGTTGAAAACAACAAAGTTTGAATGCTTTTTGAAATCTTCAAAATTCAGTGGATCTCCAAGTATATTGATTAATCTGTATCAGGAATTTTTTTCCTGCCCTGTAGGCCAAATACATATTTATACTGTGTTACAAGTTAATAATAATTTTGAAAAAAAAAAAAAAGTTATTTCAATTTGAGTCTTTTGAAAATTTCTGAGGTGTTATATGAGATTACAGTATTATGCTTTCATTTGCATATTACCAGTGTTCTAATTTAATTTTAACAATCTGCTTGAATTTAATGTGATGCCTCATACCCATAGATCACAAGTGACCAGCTGCTTTATCAGATACATATACTTTTCAATTTAATTTTATTTTTGAAATATATTTAGTTATTGCATTTTCTCGCACCAGGGCCCTAAGGATTGCTTGCTAAGGACATTTTGATGGTCACCTGTGATTTAATTTTGATAATATACTACTTACATAATATAACTGAAGATTTATAAACATTTGCATGTTGTAATCAGTCAAAAGGTATGTCTAATGCCCTGGATTATGTATCTGATATAGAATCATTTGATTTGCTTTTAATTTAATTATTATCATGATACTTTAATATAGATTTTGCAATCAAATAAAATGTTTCTATTTCTTTAAAAGAAAACCCTTTTTTAAACAAAATTAAGCTATGAAATCATGTATTTATTGGTTAAACACACAGTGTATTTCTAATTCAGTTTAAATAAAACAATCTAATTGATTTTTATTCTTGTAAACCATAAAAGTGTATGCATAATTTATATATATATGTATGTACTAGGACTACACAATTCTTTTTATTTTCATACTTAAAGGTATTGCTCCTTGATCATTCATATTTGCCAACTGTAATAAAGATGTTTCATGTACTCCTGCACCTTCTTTTTTCTTATCTTTCAAAACTATAAAAATGCCATAGTAGTCACAGAAACCCTGCTGATCACTGTATGTTGAAATCATAGTACTATATATTTGGACAACTTAGAAAACTATGGCATTTCCAGAATATAACAGAATTTGGATTTCATGTCGTTAAGCAAATGTAGATAATTCACAAAATAAATTATTATTGAAACATCATATTTAAGAAAAAGTCACCATAATTCATTGGTCAATTTTTTAAATTCATCATTTAAAAAAATTTGCAAATTTAAGCAAAAGTTATATTATTCATAAAGGACTTACTAATGAATAGATATGAGGGGAAACTCTCCCTTCCTCTTTTTTTTTTTTTTTTTTTTTTTTTAAAGCCCACAAAGGCTATTAATTTTTTTGGCATTTTGTGTTGGTTCACTATAAAAGTCTGAACTACTTTTCAAATTGTTGCCACCGAATATTAGAACCCTGTATTAAAGAAAGAAATAATGAAAATTTACATGAAGATGTATGTTTCTGCATTGTGCAAATGTATATTTGTTTCTCTCATTATGAAAAAACAACGGTACCTAAAGACTTCAAATTTTTAATAGCGTAGTCAGTCTTCCACTCGAATGTAGGCATCCGGAAGCCTAAATTTGGAATTTGTTTTATTTTGTATTTCATATTTTGTAAAACTTTAATGAATTTTTTTACTAACAAATGCAATAATTTCAAAATATTCCATTAACATTGTATGCATCTTCTAGCACAGATATTTTATGCACGAAATTTCTGTACATAACTGGTATAATGTTGGTAGTGTAGCAATGCAAAGCCATTACAATGTCTAACAGTATTCACTTTTCAAATCCCATTTTGAATCCCCCTTGAAAAAATGCTCCTTTGGGCATAATATAAAATCTGAAGATTCTATTATTATTTTTAACATTAAGTGAAAAGGGAGTTGAAAACTGCCAGATATAAAATTAGCCTAACCTACAAGAAAACTACATCTGATCATTATTTAAAATTCTATTAATAAAAAACTGCCATTATTGTTTACTTCTCATTAAGACATATGCAGTGAATCTGGATTACTCAGGCTTCATCTAAAACAAAAGTAAGCTTATTGTGTAATGATGGAGAAATTACTATCAAACAAAACAGTCTAAAAATAGAAAAAGGAAAAGAACAATGCATAGGGTAATAGCAGTGATAAGAAGTGATGTCATATTCTTTGAGAGATATTTTCATGCATAACAATGTAATTAAATTTGTGTAATCCAGAGTATATAAGCGTTCTTGAAGTATCTATTAAAAATAAATTTCTGAATCTTAAAAATGTATATTCATTAATTCTCTGTTTTACATTAACTTCTATCAGAATGCAAAAGTAAAGTAAACAGAGAGGTGCATTTTCAAAGGAGGAAGAAATAAAGAGAAAAGATGTGTGCTTGCATTCAAAGGAAAGAAAGAGCTTTCATATTGATTTAATTTACATAATGAATTGAATTTATTTTCCAGATTGAAATTATTGAGAATACAGGTAAATTGTTAATAATATTTTTATTTTTATTACAGTGAGGTGTGTAAGGAGTACGGTATCAGCCGTTATGATAGCGTACACGAAAGAGGGTAAGACGACGTCTTCAGAGCACAACAGTGGCCGAAAGGCAAACCTGGTAGATAGGGATAGAGGGCCTTGAAGCTCATAGCAGCCCGAAATGGCAGAGTGGCAATTCACAAATTCTTGGTGACAGCAACTAATGCTTTCAAGCAACGTCAATGATGCAGAGATCACAAAGGCTGGCCCCCACAGCTGTGTCAACAAGTAATATGGTCAGATGAATCGTCATTCACCCTATTTCAGACGACTGGACGTATTTATGTCTGGGAACGCCCAAAGAAGCGTTTCATCCTGACAGCCTCTTGCCGACTGTGAAGCATGGGGGTGGCGCCATTATGGTATGAGGTCCAATATCTTGGCGTGGTCTTAGGCCACTTGTTATTCTGCATAGGAGTATCACATCCAATCACTATCTAAGCATTCTAGGGGATCATGTCCATCCTTTTGTCAGACTGTATTCCCTGCGGAGTGACCGGTTTTTGAAGATGACAACGCCCCTTTTCACACTGCTAGGTGTATTCAAGAATGGTTCAAAGAGCATGATGATGCAATTGAACATCTCGCTTGGCCCCCTCAGTCTACGGACTTGAATATTATTGAACATTTATGGGCATATTTGGAGTCCAAACTTCGTTCCTGATTTCCACCTCCATCCGGACTTTAGGAATTGGAGACCGCTCTGCAGGAGGAATGGCTTAATATTCCTTTAAATATTGTCCATGACCTTTATACATCTATCCCAGATCGCATTCAATCTGTGCTTCAGTCAAAGGGTGGTCCAACCCCCTATTAATAAAGATTTTCCATTATTTCACAGGTGTTCGTATTATTTTGTCCTCCATATGTACTTAAACAGAGCATTCCCCTCCCCAGTTTCTTCCTGCATTTCCTTCTTTTGTTTTTCCGGCACCGGAAGCATGACAATAATTCATTTTATATAAAATATGTATACAATTTATTATGTCAAATGCTATTTCAACTAACTAATCACTCCAGAAATTTAATATTTACAGCCAAAAATTGTCTCTGTACCAAAGAACATCTATGTACAATACATATTCTTTGTCTCTACTCTTGCTCTGTGCACCATGCAATATGCATCAACATCACGTGTCATGCCCCAGCTAGTCAACGAAATGTTCATGTACAGTGGACCATTGTTATCAGTACATCATAATAAAAAAGGAAACCTGTAGATTTAGATTAAATTTAAATTGAGTTTATGGATAAACTTTTATTTATTTTGTGAAATAAAAAAGAACTTATTTTTACATTTTTTTCCCAAAGTGGACAATTTGCTTGGGCCCTAGACATTTGTCTGATTTGTCTATGCTCCGTTCCTGATTCTAATGATACTGTAATGTATTTTGTAGTAATTGACAAAACAGGCAATCTTCTTATTAGAACATAAATTTTAGTCTAGGTCACATAGAAAATTTATACATTCTTAGTGCAAATTTCGTACTACTATAGCTGGTAAACTTCAGAATTCAATCTTAAAAACAATTTCTCACATTGCGAGCAACAGTTACTAAAAAAATAAGCACACTACTAATACATAATTAAATAATAAATAATTATTAAATAACAATATATTCAACCTCTCCCCCCTCCAGAAACTTTATTTTAATTTTTAAATTAAAGTTACTTCCACCCCCCCCAAAAAAAAACAACATATCAGCACATACGAATTGAATACAAGAATTTAAAGAATTAAACAAGAAATAACAACACTGAGGAGAGGAAGGAACAAAATATTTTTCTATCTATACGAGTAAAATTATTTATCAGGCTAGGAGTACGACTTAATGCGTACATTTTTATGGTTTTACACGTCGATGACGACCGTGTAATTGTAGGGTTTAATACTAGTGCCCTCTCATACCGGGATTTACTCGATTATGTTGAGCAAACTAAGGGTATGATCGGTCAGGATGAGGAATTTATATGACCGTCTAAAAACTTGAAGTTTTTTACAGCAAATATTAGGCGCACATTCTTTTCTGTGGTGAGTAGCTTTTTTTCAGTTTGTAAACGCTTACTGAGGTATCATACTGGAGTTCATTTTCTTTCATCTTTCTGAGCTAAAATGACACCCATACCAGAGTCTGAACATCAATTTGTAAATAAACTCCTTATTAAAATCAAGTGACTGTAAGATGATTTTGCGGCAGTTTTCAACTCTCTCTGGTCTGTTTTTCTTAAAAACTTCTCCTGCGCATCTCAACTCCAGAACTTAGTAATTCATCTAGAGCTTTTAACTGAGAATCGTTTAATCTTGTCAAATAGTTTTTGCTCTTTGTGAGATGAACCTTTGTTCTTATCTGCTACTTGCACTCTCATTGAATGTGGCAACTTTGAGAATCCTTTATGTTTGTGCCACTTTGCTAAGTTTTCTGACGCGTGCATAGATTCTGAACGTATTTTTAATTTCTTTGCTTTAGAAGTATTTTCATGAGTTCTTTTATCAGAAGTTTTTTGATCTGCTGTAAACAAACTGTCAAACACATATTTGCTTTTTGGAGAAGTAACTGGGGAACTTGTAGGGGAATACTCACATGCACTATCCACAGAAAATGAATCGGCAGGTAAATAAGGTGAGTCAACTTCCATATCAATAACTTCAGTTTGTTCATCAGGAGGTGAACGCTTAGATTGTTTGTCCGATTTCTGTGAAGCATTGACAGAGGCTTGACGCTTAGGAGGGTGAGTATTGACCAAATTATCCTGCGTTTTAGCATTATTATTTGTTTGGTTCTGCATCAAAGTTGTGTAGTTTTGCATTTGATCCCTATATTTTTCAGAAATAACAATTAATTCCCTTTTGTTTCCATTTTTATCTAATTTCTTTTTCATCAACAGCCCGTTCTCCTTTACTTTGAAATCATTTCTGAAATTTTCACTTTTAGCTTCGCTAAGCAATGAGGCTAGATCTCTGTTTTGATGCTGAGATTCAATTAATTCCTTTGAATTAACATTAATTATTTTCTTAATTTCTTTGTCTTCCTCATCAGCTTGCGGTAAAATATCTTCATCAGTCTCAATAACAGACAGTTCTTGTTTCTCCGCTTCAATCTTCTTCTTGAGATCGTGTCAAAACCGCGTCCCCCCCCCTCTAAATTTAAGAATGATTTATCTTTGAACAAATGGGCAGTTTTGTTACCCAATACATATCTGCTGAGATCATTTGTAACAACAGCTGCCTTTGTCTTTATATGACCAAGTTCGCAATTAATTTCAACTTCCGCTAACGGTAGACACACTAAATGATCATTTAAAAGATATTATACCCAGACATGTTCTCCAGTCAGTTATGCGTTATCTATGTATTTTCGAGAAATAACATCAACAGTAGCTCCTGTGTCTCGAAGAATAGGCATTTCA